GACACAGAACATAGGAACATGAACAGAAGAATACAAACACCCAAGGTAACCAAAACCACAGAATACTAATAGACTAAACATAAACACGGAGTCGCAGACCATGACACACAGAGAGTGAAAAATACCAGTCAATAAAAAAAAGTCAGAAGGCTTTCATCAATCACTGTACTTACATATCTATATATATTTACATAGTGGTTCCACATGCAGTAAATCAATGTCGAATAAAAGCAAGTTACTCCTCATCAGACCCCACAATCAAAGTTTTATTTTTCTGTTTTTAAAGGTGAAGAGATTCTTTCTCTTTTTTGTTTGTGAATCTTTACATTTTTTTCATTTTGATGATAACTTTGAGATTGTATGATACACCACCATTTCAGTGTCTGTCACCAAATAAAATGACATCTGAATTTTAAAAAAATGTCCAGAACAAACTGCTTTTTAAACAAAAAATTTATTTCCGATAGTCTATAAGTTTTATTTAGATGCAGTATATTTAAGAATATATTGTTTTTAATGTTATTGTATTCTCAGCCTGCACATAGTGCATTTCTCATCTTTCACCAGGGAGTGGTGCTTAAGTTCCTGAATGGACCTTATGCATCTCTCTCTCTCTGTTACATGTTAATGTTAAGATTGAAATATATTCACGTACTGACTTTGCACTATATCGTGTCTGTTTGTGTGAATACATGTGCTGTGTGCGTCACGTTCAGTCACTGCTAAAGTCTTCTCTCTCTCACAGTCAAGTGTACAGGCGCAAACACATAAGAGCACCTCTGGTTGTGGCTGTGTTCATTTTAAGCTACAGTGAAATCAAATCAAAACACCAGGCAGTGCATTCACTCTGAGGTCTGCAAGCTGCAGAGCTGAGCTTCAGCTTTCACAAGCTGAAGCTCAGCTTGTGAAAGCTGAAAATTTCCCCACATAAAGAGGCATTCAGCCTCTTCCACACCAAAAGGATATTGATTGAGTTGATGCTGAGGTTTTAATGACCTCCTTTAATTAAATGCACCCTTTTAGTCAGCTATTATCAGAAAGAGTGTGTTTGCATGTGCCTCGAATAACACATATTCATGCAAACACTGAATGATATCATTCAAGTGGATCAATTTGCATCATTGTGTGATTATGTGTTTAATATCAGGAACACAGAGTTACAACAGCGTGAGATTTAGTATTTCACAGCCTTTAAAACACAACATCTTTTATTATTGTAGCACCGACTGGATGAAAACATCATTGTTTGCTTTACACTGATTTAAATCTGTGTAATGATACCTCCATTTCTGTGGAAAGTACTATTCTCTTTCACCGGCCAGTTTATTACATATAACTGGTCAACTCTTCGTTAACCCAAATATTTAATTAGCCAACTCCGTGCATTCAGGCGTATAGGCACGTGTTGAAAGAAGAAAGGTGATTTAAGTGAATTTGAACATGGCGTGACTGTTGGCCAGATGGTCTGGTCTGATTTTTTTCAGAAACTGCTGGTATACTGCGATTTTTCGCCTCGAGGGTTAACAGAGAAAAAGAAAACAAGCGAGAAAAGCAACAATATCCAGTGAGAAAATGCTTCGTTGATGTCAGAGGTCAGAGAAGAATGGACAGACCTGCTTCCAGCTGATGGTAAGGCAAAATTAACTCAAACAACCACTCATTACAACTAAGATATGCAAAAGATCATAACAATTAACAGAGTTTCACTTAAACCAGGAAATAAAAAGACTGGAAATACATTACGTGGTCTGATGAGTCTCAGCTTCTGCTGCAAAATTCAGATGGTAGGGTCAGAATTCATGTAAACAACATAAAAACATGGATCCATCCTGCCTTGTATGAGCAGTTCTGGCTGGTGGTAGTGTAGTGGTGTGGGGGATATTTTCTTAAATGCCACAGCCTACCTGAGTATTGTTGCTGAGCGTGCCCATCCTGTGTACCTAACTTCAGATGGTTGCTTCCAGCAGCAAAACACACCAAAATGTCCCTAATACACTGGCCAGTGAGTGTCCACAAAGACAGTTTTAGCCCTTCTGGTTGTTAATGTTACTGAGTGAGTCCTGTTCTGTAGGAGAACCAGTCAAAATCAAGATGGATGCTTGTGTCTTTGTATCAAATGTATATAAGCAACGCATGTAAAGTAAAAAAAAAGCTATAACGTGTGGATGACAAAGACAAATTCGTGTTTGCAGACTGCTACTTCTAAACCATTAGTACAGAATACAGCCACAGGCTGTGAAGCATGGGACAAACATCAGCTGGTGAATAAATCCCTGGAATCTGATTTTTTCTTGTGTATTGTTTTTTTTTCTCTTTTCTGTCACCACAAAGAAGCCTACTGTATGATTAGCAGAAGAGTTATGACCCCCATTATAACACACACACAAACACGCTGCACTCAAAGGTCCAGAGCATTCTTTAACTCTGTGTTATCAAAGAACCACCCATAAAAAATGTGATTTGTTTACCATGACTGCCTGTAGTGAACAGCAAGAAACCATCAGAGTTGGAGAAATGAGCACAAAAGAAAGTGAAATCTGCCGAGTTTAGTTCTGCGTGCTGCTGTCCACATGCAGCCCAACATGTATCTCAGCAAGATTAAAACAGCACAGCCAAAAAGATAAAAAAATAAATAAAAACAAAAACCTAACAAGAAGCAGAGTGTTTTGTGAAAACCTTGACATAATTTTAAAGAAAATAAATCGAATCTTTATCATAAAAGTTATGATCAAAGCTAAAACAAAAGCCAGTGAATGGTGAACTGCATTAAGCAAGTCCCTCAGATCCTGAGACAGACTGTTTGTGACACAATCTTTTTGAGTTTTTGTGAAATCCTTGAGATGGTTGGGAAGACAGCTGCAGAGAAATGGTGGCAAATCCAAATGGATGAAATAATCATGAATCAGTCTCCAGTTGTTATTCCTGTGATCTATACACTACTCTGCCCCAGTAACACAGTTTTATTAGCATTAATATGCTAAATGGGAACAATAGCCAGAAGTGACTGATTACCATGGCAGTGTGGGGCTCGTGCTGGCCAGTCACTAACCAAACTCATTCACTTAAACATGAACAGTCCCTAAATCTTTGAACTAGCTGCCCTTAGTCGTTACATCTATAAAGCATGTCTAAGAAATACTTGTGTGACTTTTTTAACCATTGTTCCAGTTATTCCAGTATCACCGGGCTGTAGCCCATCCAAAATCCTTGTGTTCCGTCTCTAAATCTCTCAAAGAAAATGTACCAAAATTATCCATTAGTCATATTATTTGAATTCACATTATCCTAATTGAATTGATAAATTGTATTTCTCACAGATTCTGTCTCTAGCTTGCATGAATCCTAATTCCTAACTTTAAACACATTGCCACTGATACATTTATCAGGTGGAGATACACATCTTGTCTGAAACTGTTACAAATGATGTGTTTTGCTCTAAAAATGTATAGATGATCTTTGAAACCAAGCATCTTCAATTTTTTATATCGCAGGTGAACTTAAACACGTATACTTTTATTCTATAAAAACTCAAAGAAATTAGCTGTTATTAATTTACTGGCACTTTTTGGGACCTGTGTTGACATCTGGGTGATGCAGAGTTGTGTAAAAAAAGAGAACAAAACAATAAAACAACCAGTCACGGCAGATGGCTGCCTCTTCAAATGTTGGAGGTTTTTTCAGTTAAAAGGGTGTTTTTCCTTCCCACTGTCGCCAAATTCTTGCTCATAGAGCAATATAAGGAGCGCTGTATAAATGTATCGAGTTGAACTGAATTGAGAAGCAGTTATCAAAACAGCTGATAATTAATTGTTATGTGGACTGACTAATGATTGGCAACAAACAAAATACTGTTAGATTTATCATTAGTCAACCCTATCAGCAAGGACTTGGCGACAGTGGGAAGGAAAAACTACCTTCAAACTTCTTACAGAACCAGACTCAGAGAGGAGCGGTGATCTGCCAAGTACAGTTGGGGTTGAAGGGAGAGAGGCAGACGTGCTGTAGAAAAGAGCCAAAGATGGATAATAACTAATTATTAAATGCTGAGTGGTGTATAAACACACAGAGATTGAAAAAGGTGAGTGAAGAACCTCAATGCATCATGGGAAGCCTCTAGCAGACTAGACCTATTCCAGCCTGATTAAGGAGGATTTAGGGTCACCTGATCCAGCCCTACCAGTATGCTTGATCAGAAATAAATGTTTTAAGCCTAGTCTTAAAAGTAGAGAGGGTGTCTATCATCTGAATCCAAACTAGGAGTTGGTTTCTGAAAACCTGTAAAATGTCTCCCATTTTACTTTTAAGTATCCTAGGAACTACAAGTAAGCGAAGTGCTCCACTGGGGTGATGCGGTACTATGAGGTCTTTAACATAAGAGGGAGCCTGATTATTCAAGACCTCGTATGTGAGGAGAATAATTTTAAATCTGATTCTGGATTTCACAGGAAGCCAATGAAGAGAAACCAGTATGGGAGAAATATATCTCAGCATATGTTGAATTAAAAGACCCTTTCCGTCTTCTTCTGATCAAAGACACGTGAACATGCTGCCTGGATGACAGAGATGTTACCTTACCCATGTTTACTTGATGTTAATTAATAGGCAAACAGGCAGCTGGTAGGACAAAACTGTCTTTTCAGTCTGTGATGGTGAGCTGCTGAGCTGGATGAATATGATGTCTAATCAATTTCCACCTCCACAGCCTGAGTTGGTACAATATCTTCTCCCTATCCTGAGGACAGAAGGGCTTTTTTTTTCTTAATGATTCACATTTTTGCATCTGCTCCTCTCCCCCCTCTCTCTTTCTCCTTCTCTCCTCCCTCCTCACTCTTCCTCTCCTCCCTGCTCGTCCTCTGCAGGCCTGCTGCTGCTCTCTGCTGCAGAGACGGGCTGCGTGACGTCACTGAAGGCTGGAGCGGTCCCTTGATTGGAGCAGGAGGGGGAGAAAAATGGGGAGAAGATTAGGAGGTGAGTTTTGCTTTTTCCAACGTCCCTCTGTCTTCCGATCACGTTTGTGTCAGCGTGTGTGTGTGTGCATGCTTTGTCGCTTCACTGCTGCCGCTCCGCTTTTCCCGTGCAACGAATTTTATGCAACGTCGGGAGTCCGGGTCCAGCAAGGAGCCAGTGCTGCCGTGAAAACACAGGAGAAAATCGGGTACACGCCAGGTTGTCCCCTCCCCGTTGTGCACGGCTGCTGTCACGAGCATCGGTGTGAATTAAGCTGGACTCCGGGCCTAGGCTTGTGTGTGTATATGTGTGCGCGCTTGCAGAGGCGTTCGTGGCTGTGAGATAACATTTGGTGGTGCCGCTCGTCCACACCCACTTGATCGGCTGCTTGTGGTTGATCCATGTGCGGTGCAAAATGTGAGGATCAAAGATCGTCAGCGCCGGATGATCCAGTGGTTGCTGTCACGTCGCTGGCGGCTGTCAGGCGACAGCTACATGCAGCTTTTCAGGGATCGCTCTGAGACTTTGGCCGGCCTTGGCCTGTAGGAACTGGACAGGTTGTATGTAGAAATATTAGGATGCTGTCTGTTATAAGTTGCATGTGTTTGCTTATTGAATGTGCTCACACAGCTTGAGCATAAATCTGCATGTTTCCCCTCCTTATAGCCTATACAGTGTTCACTGCACAGATTTGTGCTGTTCCTCTGAGCACACTTGGATTCAAGAGGAAAGTGTCAAAGGAAGTCATGACTCTATATGCATGGTCTAATAATAATAATATACCCGAAGGACTCCTCAAACTCCCCTGATGTACCTTCAGCTCTTAAGGCAGCATGCTGCTAGAGTTTGGGAAACTGTCATATGACTACAGAGCTGGAGAAATCTCAGAGTCAGTGGGCCTTAGCCTTTATGTTGCTGCTGTGTTTGTAGAAATCTGATGTGACAAAAGTTGGGGCAGTCATGCTGAAAAAAGAGGGATGGCTGCAAGATTAGAGCTGAGTTTGTACAGGGTGGAAGTAGATTGAACTCTTTTGAAAACAGAGCTGTCAGGGCCTGTGAGTGCTCATTATATTTAAGGAAGAGCTGTGTCCTTTATCTGCAATGCAGTTATATACAACATGCTTGTGCAGACAGTATGTCGGTTTATAGCATAGCCGGTCATCAGTTTCCATTCGTCATGCAAATGTCAGTGCAAACAGATGGTTTCCTGACTGATCACATGTGAGGCAAGTATGTATACAGATGCACAATACTTATTGTCTGTACTGCTATCTATCTGGTAGGATCCTTTGATGCAGGTCTTGCCATGGTGACACCTCCAGGCACTCCTCTGGAAAATATTTTTTGAAGGATTATCTAAACTTAAATTATGTTAACTTAAATCTCATTGATTATTTGGACATTAAAAATGGACATGTCCAGGTAAAACCTGCTTAAAAATGTTCATTGACTTGGCACCAAGTTTCATCAAAGTTTTTAAAAAAGTCCCCCAACTACTACAGAAGTTACACTTCTGCCACCATCTTTGCTGTTTTTCCAAAGATTTTAATCTGCATCCTTTCAGTATGCAGTTCTCAAACTGAGGGGTGGGGTCCCACTGGTGGGACAGAGTCACTATGAGCAACAAACTGAAAAATGTGACGTAAAGCTGAATGAAGTAGCTTCTTGTAAGGGAAATAAACAAGTGTTTGCTGGGGCTGTCTTGGTGACATCTGCTTTAGTCAAACTGAGATTTTTTAATAATGAGAAAGAACAAATTTAGTTAAATAGGTGTTTTGGTGCTAAAGACATAAACAAAGTAAGATTTCTGCTAGTTTTTTGGAGTAGCAGCCATCAGCTTTTTTTTTTGGTGCTGGAGCTCATTATGTTCTCCTGGCTGTGTTTTGTTATGTACTTTATTTCTAGAATTTAACGTAGATTATTTAGTTATTTTTATTTATTTCTGCAGATGTACAGCCAGCCAACTGTTTTCTGTATGACATTATCAGTCTTTCACATCATTGTGGGGGAATTTTGGCCTGCTCTTCCTTACAGTGTTGCTTCAGTTCGACTCTTTTAAGATCTTGCCAGGGCTTTTCAATTGTCTTGAGGTCTGGACATTAACCGGGTCATTGCAACATTGCAACATTTCTTTTCTTTTTCAGCCAGTCTGTCGTAGATGTGCTGCTGTGCTTGGGATCATTGTCCGGTTGCGTGACCCAGATTGGGCCAAACTTTAGCTGTTGGGCAGATAGCCTTACATTTGACTCAAGAATACTTTGGTATACAGAGGAGTTCATGGTCGACTCAATGACTGCAAGGTGCCCAGGTCCTATGGTTGCAAAGCAAGACCAAATCATCACCCGTCCAACATGGTGCCAGCAGTGCTGATATGCTCTGTTTTTGTTAAATGCACCGCCTAAGCAGTGCTGCAAGACACTTAGAGAGAATAGGCTTTCCCCTGGTAACCTACCAAACAAGCCATATTTGTTCAGTCTTTCTCTAATTGTGCTATCATGAACTTTAACATTTGACATTATGATTCCTGTTAGAGTCTAAGATGTAGCTCTTGGGTTTCTTGCAGTTTCTCTGAGCACTCATGGTCTGACCTTTGGGTGAATTTCCTGGGATGTCCATTCCTGGGAAGATTGGCCTTTTGTTAACACACACACACACACACACCTGTATGCTCCAGACCAGCAAACTGCCAAAACATCTACTTTCATAGAGGTGGTCATACAAGTGCATTTGATTAATTCCTATTGAAGCAGTTTTTCACAGGACCATATATCCTGCTACGCGTGCTACAGACAGCACTGAGAGTGTTGTAAACACTGGAGTTGAAGTTGCATTGCTGGACAAAGTACTTGTCTGGCCATCAAGTACAGATCGAATATCAGACTCATGGCTCTGTCCCAGAGCATTTAAGCATTTCTGATGGCTTGTGACTATCAACGACTGTATTGACCCTAATGTAGAAATGATTCTTGTGCCATATTTACTTATCTTTATTTATTGTTTTAAGGTTTTTAAACTTAAAACATCAAAAAGTGATATCTAAAAATGTTATGAACACTGTTTAAATATTTAACCCTCACTTCTTCACCTGCAACTTGCATGTTATGCCACCACAAGCCCAGGATTAATGAGTATAAGAGGACTTCAGAGACAGTCAAAATGCAGCCACAAATCACGGAGGCCATTTTCTGCATCATTTCCTCCTCACGTCCTCTATAGGAGCTTCGTCCCCATTATTGTTTAGGCAGGCATGGAGGGGCTTAATGTGCAAACATACAGTAAGAAGCTTGCTGTAGTCTTTAGAGAAGATGCGCAGTGGAGAGAAAGCAGGAATCTAACATCCCTGAGTGGAGGTGACAGATGTGTTATCTGCATAGGCAGCTGTTTAAATGAACTAATTGCTGAAAAAAAGCATATGACGTATAAATTGATCTTATTAACTGTTAAGAAATTTGCAGAAAAAATTCGTTTTTGTATATTCCCTCATTAGCCTACCCACATAATTGTAAAAACCCTCTATTTTCTGGGGAAACGAATGTGCCTACATTGTCAGTATTGAATTTGTAGAGTGCACATATTTGCCCACATAATGAGCATGGACTTGTGGTGTTAGTGTGCCTAACAACATCCTCTTGGCATGCTTGTATGTACATGTATACTTGAATGTAATTGCTTCAGTGAACAGCTGTCTGGATCAATAGCAGACAGCGGCGAGCCAGAGGATGAGTCTGTCCATAAGCTCAGATCGGCGAGAGGCTGTCACAGCCTTGTCCTGTCCCGAGCTCGATGCTCATCAGAGTAAAGTGGGCAACTGCCCAAATGCCAGAAGAAAAGTTCTGATTAATGCATCCAATCCTTCAGTTGTAAAAAGGACCGATGTGCCAAAATCTTAATACTGAACACATCTGTTGAGCTTTATTACATTTCCTTACCACTTTTTTTTGTGTGCACTGTAGTAAACGCACAAGGAACTTCAAGCAAAGTGGTATTATTCCATCACAGGAGTACTACTATAAATGACTTTCCTTTATTAATGCAATCTGATGCGTAGTTTCTTTACCAGTCATCAGAAATACAGAAATATTTATTCACAAAATCACATAAAAAGTATTTGGTTTTGTGTGAACTACAGTGTTTTATAGTTAAGTGGTTATTTGTTTTTAGTTTTTTGGTAATTGAAAATCAGGAATGTTTTGAAATATTTACATTTGAGGAGATGCTAACAGAGCCTTTTTGGCATTATTGCTTAAAAAATGATCAGTTTTCTGAGTTTGCACAGATCTTTAGAGGACTGTGTGTGTGTGCGCGCGCACGCGCGCGCGCACACACACACACACACACTTTAAACCCACAAAATCAGATGTCTTTGGCAGTTTTTAGGATCAGTGGAATCAAGGTGTTAGCTCAACAAGTAGCTGTCTTTGGTCTCTATCAGCTCTTGCATTAAAGAGCTGACTCTTTAGCTACTAAATGGTCATTATGCTCTCCAAGCAACTGGAGAAAATGTGTGTCTTCAGTGTATGCTGCTAAAAGAGACGTTTCAGAGGTGGTGAAGGATTGCACTGAGCACTGGCCCCCTTAGACTTTTATCTTTGGGGTCATCTGAAGGCAATTGTCTATGGTGTGAAGATACGAGATGTGCAGCACCTGAAACTACAGATACTGGATGCCTGTGCTGGCATTTCTCCTGCGGTGTTGCTATCAGTGTGTGAAGAGTGGGAGAAGAGGGTTGCATTGACAATCCAACACAATGGGCAGCACATTGAACGCATTTTATAAGTGTTCAGAAACTTGTAAATAACTCATGAAAGAATAAAGTTACGTTGAAACCAAGCACACCATTGTTTTTCTTGTGACATTACCAATAAGTTTTATGTGTCACATGGCCCTCTTCCTATTGAAAACACAAAAAAGTTGTATCCAAGATGGCCGACTTCTAAATGCCCACCATGGTCACCACCCATCTTGAGGCGTTTGCCCCCTCACATATACTAATGTGCCACAAACAGGACTTTAATATCACCAACAATTCCCATGTTATTACGGTGTATCCATATAAATGGCCTACCCTGTGCAATGCAAAGGGGAACAGTCATTTGCAGAGTAAATGTTTATAAGTCTTTGAGATACGTTCATTGAGCAAGTTTTGCTGTTCGATGTGATATTACACGGGGAAAGAAATTCTTGCAGGAAGAGGAGGTGGTAGTGACGGTTGAGAGTCTGCATATTGAGGTTCAGTGTTGTTATGGCACTTGAAACTGTTTCTGAGTCTGTTTGTCCTTGATTTGAGGGACTGCTAGTGCCTGGCAGAGGGCAACAGGTCAAATAGGTGAGAACTAGGATGCGCGAGATCCTGTGAGGCAGCTGGAGGTAAACAAGTCCTGTAGGCACCTCTGAGCTGTGTTGATGATCTTCTGAAGCCTTCTCTCTGCTTCTGTGCAGTTCCTGTACCACACTGTGATACAATATGTCAGTACACTCTCTATGGAGGAGCCGTAAAAGGTCACAAGCAGCTTTTGGCCCAGATTGTTCTTCCTGAGTCCTCCCAGGAAGTAAAGTC